CTCCTGGCTACTCATGCCCCTTGGGGCTTTTAGTAGTAAAAATCTTCTAAGTATGAAGGCCTCGCCTCCTTAGAGAATTCGGTGGCCTAAGTCATCTTAGACTTAGAACCCTCATTGCCCATTGGGGCTTTAGACTCAGCAGATTATCTAGTTGTTGTGTGACTGCCTCATCCCCTTAGAGGATTCAGCCGTATAAGTTCTTTAAACTTGGAGATGGCTTTAAACTTGGTGAATTTTAATAAATCTACCAAGTAGGAATGCTTCTCCTCTTTAGAGGAGTTAGCCATGTAAGTTCTTTGGACTTATCTTTTGTCGAATGCGTTAAGCATAGATCGTAAGTGCTTTATGTGTAGTGGCCCATAGAGTTTGTGTCTATTTTTTTTTACTTAGCCTTACCTCCTTAGAGGTTCTCCTGGTTACTCATGCCCTTTGGGGCTTTTAGTAGTAAAAATTTTCTAAGTATGAAGGCCTCGCCTCCTTAGAGGATTCGGCGGCCTAAGTCATCTTGGACTTAGAACCTTCATTGCCCCTTGGGGCTTTAAACTCAACAGATTATCTATCTGCTATGTGACTACCTCTCCTCCTTAGACTTGGAGGATTTAGCCGTATAAGTTCTTTGAACTTGTAAATCTTTAATGCCCTTTGGGGCTTCAGACTTGGTGAATTTTAATAAATCTACTAAATGAGAATGCCTCTCCTCCTTGGAGGAGTCAGCCCTGTAAGTTCTTTAGACTTATCTTTTGTTGAATACGTTAAGCATAGATAGTATGTGCTTTATGCGTAGTGGCCCGTAGACCCTTTCTTGCCCCTCATGTCTAGTTAAAAACCTTAATTTTTTTAGCAGACATGTTATATTAGTTGTCTACCTCTTTGAGGTATTGTCGAATACAAGTAGAAAATTTGACGTAGCGCGATTAAACCACTGTTTTATTTATTCTATGAAATATCAAAATGACACAGCCAAGGATAATCAAAATAATCAAATGGATGTCAAATAATAAATCATTGATAATACAACTTTAGTTGCTCAGCACGGATGTTGTCGGCGAGGCTTTCCAAAAGTTAGGTTCCTTGGCACAGCATTCTCTTATGCGATAAGGCCCTTCCTACGTTGGGCCTAGATGACCAGTGTTTTTAGTTTTAGTACTTTGAGTAACTCTTTTTAGGACCAGGTCCACAGGGGTGAACTTTCTCTGCTTTACTCTTTTGTTGTAGTACCATACTGTCCTCTACTGATATATGGTGAGTTGAAGTTGGGAGTTGTGCCTTCTTTCTTCTAATAAATTAAGTTCTTCATTCATTGCCTCGACGTTTGAACTTTCATCGTAAGCTATTATCGTCTGGGTCGGCGTTTCAAGCTTCACTAGGAGAATGGCTTCGACTCCATATGTCATAGAGAATGGAGTTTCCCCTATAGTAGTTCGGTTCATTGTTCTATAAGCCCATAATACTTTTGGGAGTTCTTCAGCCCATTTTCTTTTTAGATCATTGAGCTTCTTTTTCAGTGTATAATTAAGGATCTTATTAACAGCTTCAACTTGACCGTTTGGCTGCGGATGGATTGGCGCCAAGAAGTTTTTCTGAATGCCCAGATCATCATAGAATTTCAACTTGGGGTAGTAGTCCACAATGATGATGGCAAATTTGAAACCTCCTGGTGCGATATGTAAAGGTCCGATCAGGTTGATCCCACATTTGGCAAAAGCCCATGGGCTAAGAATGAAAGTTAGATTCTCCGGTGGCGCTCTAGAAATTGTGGCATAACGCTGGCATTTATCGCAACATCGATCGTACTGGTATGCGTCCTTTTTAATCGTAGGCCAATAGTACCCATGCCTTAAAACCTTAAGAGCTAAGAATTGCCCCCAGTGTAATTACCACACATTCATTCATGGATCTCTCGGAGGACTTCTTTAGCTTCATCGCTGTCTAAGCACCGTTGTAGGGGCGTCGAATAACTTCGCTGGTATAGTAGACTGTCGTACAACAAGTACCTTGTACCTCTTTACTTAATTCTTCTAGCTTCGTCCTTATCGTATGGCAATTCTGCATCCATTAGATACCCGATGATCGGGGTCATCTAGTTCTCCACCCCCTGAGTTGTCAGGACCTCTTCTACTCCTTCCTCGATGGATGGCCACGACAACTCTTTTATGGGGACAACCCCCAATAGTTCTGAGTCTTTGGAGGAGGCCAATTTTGCCAAAGCATCGATGTTGGAGTTTTCGGGTCATGGGACCTGCTGTATCTCATAACTTCTAAACTTCAAAAGCTCCTCCTTAACTCTCCTTAGATAAGGCCCCATTTTTTCTCCACGCACTTGATATTCCTCCTTGACTTGATTCACCACTAGTTGAGAGTCACTATAGACTACAACGTCTTCGGCTTTCAATGGTTCGCCAACCACATGCCTACGATCAACGCTTCATATTCTGCTCCATTGTTAGATGCTTTGAATTTGAAGCGTACTGCCGCCGTGATCTTGTGGCCTTCTGGGCTTATCAGCATGATGCCTACACCTGTTCCATTTTCGTTCGTGGATCCATCTACATACAGCTTCCACTTCACCTCTTTAATGCTCTCTTCGTTCTCCGTTGTGGCTGGCCTATGAGAGAACTCTGCCACGAAGTCAGTCTAGGCTTCACCTTTTATTGCTACCATCAGTGTGTATTCAATGTCGAATTGGCTCAGCTCTATTGACCACTTCTACTACCTGCCTTAAGTTTTTTTGCAGGTGACTCACCTGGCTTTTTATGTCTTTCTTTAAACTAGCAGCGTCACCTATAAGCTTCTCTTCTAAGCTCGCCACGCTCCATTATGGCTTTAGCTTCTGCCGTTGAGATTGCAGAGTCGATTCCTTTCGAAACTTCTACCCTTTTTGCATTCAACTTATTCCTTAGGCCGTCTCCCCTCTGCACCGACCCCGAGTCTTCCGAAGCCTTATTGCCCTGGTTTCCTCTACATGGCGCCCTGGGGGCAACTCCAGGCCCTTTGCAGCTTCCTTTTCTTGGGCTCGACGCTTGGCGCCCCTCTGTCTACTTCCCACGGATTTAGACGGTCGGGGTCTCGGGTAAAAATTCGTCAACATATTACTAACAGATTTTTGGTGGTTTGTGTGCGAATCAAGTGGATTAAAACGTGATAAATGAAAATAAAGAGAAGATCAACCCATGAATTTTATAGTAGTTCACCCCGAATTCTGGAGCTACATCCATTGAGAGAGAGTTTCACTATGTTCTTGAGAAAGATATTACAACATGAGAGAGAGAATTCAAAACCCTTTTCCTGGGCCATTCTCCTCTATTTATACATCATATCACCCTTATCAATTTTCTAATCAAATTTTAAGACACCTTCACCAAATCTTGGAACAATGATTTCTGCTCACCGAGATTTTAGTCAGCCAGCCTGATTTTCCTTACCGACTTCGCCACTAACTCTGCATGCATTAAATGTTGTCATGTGTTAGGTCAGATATCACGTCCTTCAAGACGTGCGTGGGTTTGGCGCCTTTGGGTCCTTCTAAGCGGTCTCCTTCTTTAGACGACAGTGCGGTCGACTTCATGCTGCGATATATTTCTCAGTACGGTCGTCCTCTTAGGGGCTCCATTTCTAGTTTAGAGTCGGCGTCTATGATCGGCGTCCATAAAATTGCGGGATATTTTATGCACAGCTGACATGGTTATTAATTATCCAACTATGCCACGTGACGATCATCTACTGGCTGATGTGGAGCGTGAGATTTTTTGCATGCATTAAATGTTGTCATGTGTTAGGTCAGATATCACGTCCTTCAAGACGTGCGTGGGTTTGGCGCCTTTGGGTCCTTCTAAGCGGTCTCCTTCTTTAGACGACAGTGCGGTCGACTTCATGCTGCGATATATTTCTCAGTACGGTCGTCCTCTTAGGGGCTCCATTTCTAGTTTAGAGTCGGCGTCTATGATCGGCGTCCATAAAATTGCGGGATATTTTATGCACAGCTGACATGGTTATTAATTATCCAACTATGCCACGTGACGATCATCTACTGGCTGATGTGGAGCGTGAGATTTTTCCCTACAACAAAAACAAACACCAACATCGACAGAATGACTGCCTTTATTCACGAACAACTAAAAAAAGAGAAAAAAAATCAACACAGACTCTACTATCGTGTAGATCGATTGATTCAGAACGTGTGAGTGTATGTTGGAGGATGACTGAATAGAGATGCACTTTCGGTTATAAGTATTCTCCTTTCTTCTCCATTCTCTTCCTCTCTGAAATTCTCTCTCACTAGAAAACCTCTCAACATTTGTTTTGTTTTTGTTTTTGTTTTGGGCTTTTTTTAAATTTTTTATTTTTATATATATGTAATGCCCCAGCCGTATTTTCTCCTATTTTTTATGGAACTTGTGCCCCGTATTAGTTAGCGGAAAAAAATATTAGTTTTTTTCTTCAAGAAAAAAAAAAGTTAAACAAATTTATTTTCCCATTTCCTACAGATTGTTAGTGAGTTTTTAATCATGATTTTTTTTTTCCACTGATGAAATGAACGACAAAGACAAACATTCCATCAATAATGAAAAGTAAGATTATACCACTAATACTTATCCATTAGCGTTTAATTAGAGATATTTGCATAATTTATTCATTTTCTCCAAGAACATAATTTCTTACGATTTATTTATTATTTCTTAAAGTCTTCTCTTAAGAGTTGAACAAAATTCCGAAAAATTATACCCAAAAAAACCCGAAAAAGCAAAAGTTGTCAGAACAGTATGTAATTTCACATTCACCACTCAAAATAAGAATATAATAAATAGATAGACCCCCAGAAACAAAGAAAACTAACAAAGCAACCCCAAAATCAACAGGCTACAACCGGTAAACCGCAAGTTCCAAACCGGCTGTCCAGGTCATCCACGACAAACAAATCTCAATCCTTCACTCTTTCTCTCTCCGTCTTTCGTTCATTGGGGCACTGCAACTCTCTCTCTCTCTAATTTTACAGAGCAAAGCAAAGAAATTCAAGTTCCTCCTCCTCCTTACTCACTCCCAAGTCCTCAGATCGAAAAACTCGTCAGCTCTTCAATTGCAGACAGAAGCATAATCACTCTCCTCCTGCATTTTCTCGGGAAAATTTCTTCTCTCTGCTGTTTTCATCATTTTCTCGGAAAAAGTATGGGAACAATTGCAAAGAGACACGCAGTGTTGTCAGCTTTTCTCTCTCCAATGTGCGGGAGAGACTGAAACGACACAGTTTCAAACAACCCACAGCTCTACACTTCTTTTTCTTTTCTAGAGAGAGAAAGAGAAGGGAGAAGAGAGTAAGAGCTGCAGTCAGAGCTCAGAAAACCCTTTTTTTCTTCTTCTCGTTTTTCCACAAAATGCAGAATGGGAATCTCTGTGCCTCGAGGCTATTTGAAAGCTCATTTTCGTTCTCACTTTTCATACATAATAATTTATTTTTATTTCTCTGAATTTCCCAGCTTGCTCATATAAAATAAAAGCTTCTTCCTTTGGCATCAAAAGGTGAAACCATTTTCTCTTATACTGTTATTTTCTTTTCTTTTGCTTTATTAATTCCTAAATGTGTCTTTTCTTTAGGGATTTTAGGCTAATTTGAAATCTGGGTTTTGGTAAAAAAAAAAAGAACAAAAAAGAAAAGAAGTTGGGGTTTAGTTTTTTAGACTTTTAATGGCTTTTGTGTTGGTGGGGTTTGGTTGAAACTTTAGCTTCAGTTTGAACTTTCAGATTTTTTCTAAGGATTCAATTCAAATATGTTGAATTTTTTGTGGGGCTAAAATGTTTGAGATCTGTGTTGACAGATTGAGGAGAGCCTTGGTTCAATGGATATGCCTACAGGAAAGCATTGTGATTTCACTTTTATTGAGCTTTCTGCAGTGATCTGAGCTAATTTTGTTGGTGGATTTTTGGAGGCAGTGTTGAATGTTTGATTGAAAAAAAAGAGATATCACAGAATTGGAGACTTTAAGAAGATTAAGATTATTTCTTTGCGGAAAAGAAAGAAAGAGGTTTCGTTCTTGAGAGCCAAAACGGTTTTATTATTTTGTCCCCATCAATGTCAGGAGCTCCAAGAGTGAGGTCCATGAATGTGGCTGATTCAGAGTCTAGGCCAGTGCTTGGACTGGCCGGAAATAAGGCCGGTACATGGAGTAGTACCCGTAAATCCACTTCAAAAACTCCGAGAAAAGTAGATAAATCGCCTGATGAGGTCACATTGTCTGAGGAGAAGAAGAAGACCCGTCAAGTGTCTTCCACTGGTGCCACTTCTCCTCAGCTGCATTCTTCAAGTGTCCCCTCGGTCCTCCGCCGACATGAGCAGTTGTTGCATTCTAACCTGTCCTTGAATGCTTCTTGCTCTTCGGACGCCTCTACAGATTCTTTCCACAGTAGAGCGTCTACCGGCAGGCTGCTGACTCGGTCGTATAGCACGGGAAGTAGGCGGAAGCAGTTAGTTTCGCGGACGAGAAGTGTTGTTTCTGATGGTGGGTTGGAGTCTCCTCCTGATGATTCACAGCAAAAGAAGAGGTGTGCTTGGGTGACGCCTAATACTGGTTTGTTCCCTTTCTTCGGTTTGAGTGAAAATGACTAATTTTGTGGCACTAATGGTGTTTTAGTTGATTGTTGTTTGATCGACACAACGTCTTAATAATAGAAGTAGGATAAAGTTTTTGAGTATAGAATTCTTCCGTGTATCATATTTATGGTAGTCATAGAACCAAGTTACTAATGCACTGAACAGAATTGACAGTCTGTATATATTTTTCCCTGCGCATATGCTACAAAACCCTTGTTGTTTGGTGTTGGATTTTGACTTTATAGATGGGCATTGATCTGTATTAATGCTAGACTTCTGCACAATATCTTCTTTCTAGAGTGCTTGCAAATTGCTTAGGTCATCGCAAGTCTAATGCTAAAGTGATATATTGCTGAATACATTTAACCGGCATCTTTTGTAGCAATTGACTGAAGGGCTTTGATTGAGTGACTTTGTGGTTCTAAGTAGGATATGGTGGAAATATAAATGCGTTGGAAATTGAATTTGATTTAATGTTTGAATATTTGATTCAGTTTTCTTAGAGATCATTTCTGGCGGCTAAAGACTGTTTGTTATTTTCCATTTTTATCTGTTCAAGGTCCATCTGAGAATTGGGAGAAAGACTTTTTGAAATTGTGTACTAAACCAAGAGAACCTAGTTCCTATACCGACTTTACAAAAAGGAGGAAAAAAGACATGATTGACTGCCTTAATTCTCCTCAATATATCGTATGTTTTTGTGAAAGTGGGAGAAAATACTTTAGCCTTCTATCTCTTTGGGTTTTGGGAAACTTCAACTTTAGCCTCAAATTGGTTTTAATTAGAGTAACAAAAATTGAAACAGGTATATCAGTTTCAATACAAGTTGTGATCTCGCCTAATTGTTTTCTGTTGTGTTCTGTTTTTTGGTGTTGGTGAATTGTATTTACGTATTGAGAGATGAAACTATGTAGAGAATCTAGAGATACGTATTTGTTGATTGGACCCTGTCAAAACCTTGTGTTACTCTGGATAGCTAGTTTTTTTATTGTCTTCTTTCAGATTTTTTTTTTTTAGAATTTTTTTTTTTTTAGAATTTTTTTTTTTTTAGAATTTTTTTTTTTTTAGAATTTTTTTTTTTTTAGAATTTATTTATTTTCTTACTTCTAACATAGTCACCATTTGTTGAAATCAGAGCCATGTTATGTTGCTTTCCACGACGAAGAATGGGGGGTTCCAGTACATGATGATAGGTATGTGTTAACTATTTATTCACATCTGTAGTGATTAAAATTGTTGGTCCCTCCCACTCCAATTGACAGTTTGCTCCATATTCTTTACCATATGCAGGAAACTCTTCGAGCTTCTTGTTCTTTCTGGTGCACTGGCTGAACTTACATGGCCTGCCATTTTAAGCAAAAGACACATTTTTAGGTATTATTTTTCATTCAGATTTGTTTCATAGAATGGATGTTAAAAGATATTGGGCTTTGTACTATGGTCCCATCTCACTGACTATTACATTAACATTATTGATTGCAAACTTCATTTTTTGCAGGGAAGTTTTTGCAGATTTTGATCCAGCTGCTGTCTCAAAATTGAATGAGAAGAAGATAATGGCACCAGGAAGCACTGCAAGCTCCCTATTGTCGGAGCTGAAATTACGTGCCATTATAGAAAATGGGCGGCAAATATCTAAGGTACATATTTTTCTTCTGATGTTGTTTAGATCCAAACTGCTGAAAATGCCTATCTCAAAAATACATGCATATGCAGGCTCTGAATTATTATTTGGGCGGTGTCGTTATTTTATTTTACTCCCCTGATTTGGTGGAACGTAAAAAGTCAAAAGGCCGCGTGATCGAAATGTTACATTGTCCAACTGGAATCATTGCATGAATTTATGTCCATAGGCATTGTACGTGATCGGTTTATTTTTCTCGCATAGACTAGGGACCATGTGTGTTTGCAGTTGTTTCTAGAAGCAATTAAATGACATAAAATGGATGCTTAGTGATCATTTGATCAGGTAGGTTAGGTGGAAAAGTAGTTGAATGGTGGTCCTGTATTTTCATTATACAGGCCAATCATAGATTCCTTAACTTCATTATTCTATCTCCAAAGTAGCACAATTGCAACCTAATAATTCCCTCATTTTCAGCAAGCCAGCATGTTATTTGGCTAGTTCCAAATAATTTTATCAACTTGACAAACTTGACATTTTTAGTGAAGGGCCAGAATTGATCTTCCTCGTAATTGCTACTATTACCGTCGGAACTAACTTTTTGCAGGTTTTGCCAAATGCCAGGTCATAGATGAGTTTGGATCTTTTGACAATTACATTTGGAGCTTTGTGAACAACAAGCCTATAGTCAGCAAGTTCCGTTATCCACGCCAGGTACCTGTCAAAACCCCGAAAGCAGATGTGATAAGCAAAGACCTCGTGAGGAGGGGATTCCGAAGTGTAGGACCGACAGTTGTGTACTCTTTCATGCAAGTTGCGGGAATCACAAACGACCATCTCATCAGCTGCTTCAGATTTCAGGAATGTCTGAATGCAGCGGAAGGGAAGGACGAGAACGGTATCAAGAACGAGGCCGGGGAGAAGAATAAAAACAATAACGGAGCGGAATCAGAACTATGCATTGGCATTGAGGAATTAAATTTCAGCTCAGAATGATGAAACAAAGCTCCTGGTTCAATCAATCATCGGCGCAAAGGTGATTTGTGTATAAAAATTTTCATGAATCTTTTAAGAGCTTAAGAAGCATCATGGATTTTCTTTTACAGAATTAGATTACTGAAAGTAAATTAATGTAACTGGTGATTGTGCTGTCGGTGGGGGGGCTTCTACAGAGAGCCTTTGAAGCTGGATGTGCAATTTTTTGTACAGTTTGAAAGGGGGAAAAAAAGTCTTTAAAAAGACCAGACTCTTGTTGTGATCAAGAGAAATGAACAAATTTTTGTTGTGCAAAGCCATCAATCACCGTCCGATTTATGATGACCTTACAGTTGTGGGGGTTGGGACCCAGGTGTCTGGAGGGCTATGGCCTTAGGATGTGGTGGACAGCTAGAGGCTTATAATATTAACTGATTGGTCAGTTTTGCTTTTAATAATGACAATAAAAGATGAGTAGCACAATGTTTCTTTGTCTCCCTAGGACTGGGGAGGACTCCCAATTGATAGACAGACATGTTTGTACTGTTGGCACCAGACCACCAAATTATGAAAGGGCAGCCCTTGTTTCCTAGAGTGATATGAGATAGCTGAAAATTGTTGTTGGATTGCTTTATATTGGAAAACCAATCTAGGCTTAAAATTTGTATAATCTAGCCAAACATAAATAAACGGGTATAACGATTGATGGATGGGGTTGCGTTTTTTCTTTTTTCTTTTTTTTTTCTCTTTTTTTTATTTAAATTTTTTAAATTTTTTGAGGGGAAGCCTTGGATTAATACCATTGAGACATTTTAGTGGTTTTTACTTGAATACCCTTTCAGCCAAATGCAAGGATTGCTTTTGTTTGAAGCTTATAAACATGTTTGAGGAATTAGGTAACTATTTTGAAGAAACACATTCACCAAAAAACTATTTTGAAGAATACTTTTTAAAATGTTGAAAACTGAAATATTCCCAAACGAGTTTTGATTGAATTTGTTGTATTTTATATTAGTATTCATTTTAAGAGAATTATGTGGCAAGGTATGTAAAGATCCCCTACGGGATTATATTAGGCATTATATTAGAATAATTTCTAGTCTAATAAAATATCAATTTTACGAAATTTAGTGAAGGTATGACGATAAATCCTTCTTATAGTATTTGTTTGTTCGGAAATAGTAAGAAATAGGCTAATATGAAAAGCTTAAGAAAGTATATATGTCAATTTTTAGTTATAGAAATTAATAGACCATAACTTGTCAAGTTATGGTTCATAATCAGATAAGTTATGGACAAAATTGTCAAGTTATGGTTCATAATCAGATAAGTTATGGATAATAACTTGTCAAGTTATGGTTCATAACCAGATAAGTTATGGACGAAAACAGTAATTTGGCTTATTTATTAACTTATGTAAACTATTGGCCTATTAATTTTAATTCATTTCAAGTCTTGGTCTATTTCTCTCTTTCTCCCTTATTTGTTTCACTATAAACATGGAATTCTAAAATGCCTCCATCTTCGAATCTACATGTGCTCCATCTTCACAAAGTAACATGAAATTCCTATACTAGAATAACATAGATGGTTGAGATCATTCTAGAAGAAATAGTTCAGTCATAAAAAGGGTGCAATTTCCGTGCACTAACTGATTGATTTTTCCAATAATAGTCCCATAAAAGACGGTGCGAATTCGGGACTGATCAATCTTGAGATATGGAGTCTCTAGGTTGCCATATTATTCGTGTCAAGTGTTCCCTAACATAGGCAACCAATTGAAAGTCAGCCGTAGGAACGCCTGTAAAAGACGGTGCGAATTCGGGATTGATCAATCCCGAGATATGGAGCCTCTAGGTTGCCATATTATTTGTGTCAAGTGTTCCCTAACATGGGCAACGAATTGAAAGTCAAAGTCATAGGAACACCCAGTATGTTGTTTAGCACACAGTGGAATTCCCAATGCAGGATGAGTGTCCTGTCATCGGGGCAGACCCATTACCTAACAAGCTAAAAAAATGTTTAGATCCTAGGATTGACCCCAACAAACATGCATTGTTTTTAATTTTTTTTTAATAAACCTTTCGCTTGTAAAAACAATAAAAAGTTTTTGATATGATATAAATCAATAAGACATGATATTTACTTTGTTATGTCCTATTATTTTAATCATGAAGTTGGTCTCATTTGAAATCGTCCACCAACATTGTTTTTTTTTTTTCTTCATTTTTTGCCATTTTTTCAAAAGCACGAACTATAAATAGAGGTAACAACAAGCAAATACAAATTCTAGCATTAAAAAAAAAAAAAAAGAAAGCAACTACAAAGATGAAAACTTGAACCCTCTATTTAGCTGTTGCAGTGAGGAAGCAGATAGCCCTTATGCATAAACCAGTAGGACAACAAAGACTCAAATGACTCACACAATGAAGGCCGAAGGGCACTTGATAAAGAGACACATATACAAGTCATAAACAACAAATTTGAACCAAGCAACAGAGTACCAACATGTTGTGATGGTTTAGGCGCCAAAAAAAAAAAAAGTTTTGATAGATCTTCCCGAGGAAAATCTTGACACAAACTAGGCTGATTCTAACTCGAAGTGGTATGGATTATGGAATGAATCAGTGAGCTCAATTTCACGCTTCCGAGATGCCGAGAGAAGTTGCATCTCTAGAGTTGGTGTATATTTTACCCTTCGTGCAATCCTGAATCAAATTGTTGAAGTATCAGGGGTGATAAAACAGAAAATTTTGAAATAAAATTAACAATTTATGAATTAGGAGAAGTGGAAGTCTTTTGTACCTTTTACTTTTTTGGATAGCTGTAGCAGCAAAAAGAGCTAGAATAGTCCATGGGCTACTAAAATGAGTATGACAGACTTGAGTCATCCAGAGTGCGCACCTTCTTCTGCACTTATTCCTGCAATGCCTCTCTACTTTGTTCTTGACATGCTCGTAAGTGTCTGTGGCCGGTGGAAAGAATTTAGTGCCCATGTTATTGATCAATTGAGCGGCTGCAATATCACTACCGAGACAGTTCTGAAGAATATCTGCTGCCTTTAGGTCCTTAACATCTTGTTCGTTATCAACGAGCAAATCTAGCAAGTTTACGTAACAAGTAACCCAAGGTTCATGGTTTGGATGAGATCCAGATAAGCTCATCTCATAGGCAACCAGAGTGAGCAACTTATGCTCTGTCGAATCGTCTACAAGTATTTTGGGAAGCATAAGTTGAGCTGAAATATTGAATGGAGAACGGAAATATATGGTTGTTAAAGAATCACTTGGCTTGAAATCTATCCCTGCTTTTTTAAGTTCCTGAACGTTGCGAAAGGAGTACTGCATAATGTTGCTCTTCTCTTTAGGCAGTCGCAGTGACTTATTAAACCGCACCATCATGCAACAAATCAGCGCAGCTGCTCCACAACCACAAGTACGAACGAGGTTAGTTAGCATGTACCCACAGGGATGGAAGAAAATAGGGTCGTCAAACAAGAGAACTTCGCGGAGAAGGTCAAGAATGTGTACTGGATTTTCGTCAACCAAACGCATAACTACGAATTCTGTAAAGTCTCCTGGAGAAGTACTCATAAGAGCAATAAATCTGCAAAACTCATGTTTCAAATTTACATTTTCCCTTTCTCTTAATCCCATCAACACCTCAAGCGCAAACAAATCCCGTTGAATCAAAGATGCTACCTCATTACTAAGGCGAAACATGTTTAACTTCTTATTCACATAGCTTTGTATGAACCCTAGCATTGCACACCCATCCAAGAACAACAACCTTACCAATTCCTCATCGTAATACGGCTCAATAAGCTTCTCATCAAAGGACCTCTTTATATCCGCGACGTAATCCATGATGTTTTCTAGTAAGGCATGCATTGTTCTGCCACTTCACTGAATGAAATATGATGCCAATTTAAGCTTCAGTTCCTTTTTGTGCAAATTAGAATCAGCAGCATGAATAGGGCCGATCGACAACTCCTTTGGCTTAACATACTTTTTCAATTCTGCGTTTTGTAGAATTATCTCCGGAACCTTTTGTATCGTTCTTCGCTGATTGCTTCCATGTTCTTTATGGTCGTCGCTTATGTTGATTTTTACGGCATCTAGTTCATCCAGGAGTTGTTGACCTTCATAACTAATTGGGTACCCCCATATTGTTGTTGGCCATTGATCATCAACTAGCTGCATGTGACGACCCTCTTTAAGAGACTGTAACCGTAACTTACTTTTTAACTTGTACTTACCGGCATTTCTTAAAATTTACGGAAAACATTTTTTTTTTGTTTTTTTTATATAAAAAAGAATAATTTCATAACTCGTAACAATAATTTTAAAAGAATGAATCACTAAATTTCTTAAAGCTTTTCTTAATTTCAATTAAGATAAAACCTTTTAGAAATATCTTTCAAACGGAGCAGCGTTTGAATTTTTGTTTCAAATACTCTTTAAAAACCTTTCTAAAACTAGCCCATTCAATCGGGCCATTCAATTTGGCTTTAAAACGGATTTCGAGAGAAATCTTAAATTCAAGTACATTTTTAAAGTCACTTTAAAATCAATCATTTAAATTGTCATGTTTAAAATTCGTTTATTTGTTGCATGCACTATTGCAACGTTCTAAAACTTAAATACTCAAAACTAGGGTTGTTAACTACAACCTCGGTTTTCCTAACATACATATGTACATATACTTTTTAAACATACATGCTTGAAACCTTTGAATCATATAAACATATACATGGTTTTACTTAAACTTATTGCGGAAGATTTGAATGTTAGCGGTATCCATTCTCATCTCCACCATTCGTCCGCCGCTCGCCATTGCCCTTCAAGAATTGCTGATAGGTTTCTTACCTACAGCATGAACATATCTGATTGAGTTTCGCTCAGCAAGTAGGAACTATATATCGCAAAATAACTGTGAGTACACATGAATAAATATGCATGAGCTGATTATGCTTAATTATGATGTCTTATCATAGTCTTATTATCTTTTCTTATCTTTTCTTTCTTTCTTATGGGCCCGAGTGCTCGTACCACTTGCGCACAATCAGCGGGACCTGAGGGTTTGCAAGGTCCCCTATGACACCGTGATTATAACTTGAATGCCTCCCTTGCAAAGGACATTATTATGTATATTTTTTTCTTTCTTTTCTCCCTGCACAACTTACCCTTTCTTGGCCTTATGCCTCAAGGGATTGATGGTTGTCACAGAGTTACCTCCCTTGCGAAGGCTGGTACGACACTCAATTGAAATTATTCTTATAATTTCCTCTTGACTTATTAAGGTGTATACAATATGACATGGCATCACATACAAAACTTAAAGCATAAAACATGAATATATAATACATGTGTAACTTTTTCTTTAAAATCTATTCATGCTGTAGGCGAGATTCCTACTTACCTGATTTACAGAGCTGGAATCCACTTTTCGCCAAACAGCCTATTCTCTTACTTGCTTACTTCTGAAAATGAACACCCATTGAGAGTGTGAGATTATATGTCGTTTGCTATTCTATTTTAGCAGCTTATGAAGGAAATCTAGCCCTTTACTTAAAGGATGTATTCCTTTCCTCTACTGAAGAATAATTTACTATAAGGATCAATTTATTAAATCCTCAAAATCTTATTTTCCTTAATTGCCCTTAACATTTTTATGTCTAGATTGAAAATCATTTACCCAACCTAGTAACTTATTCTCCATAATTTTCCTCATTGGACTTATTATGAT